TTCAGTAGTCAATATTTTGCCAATTTGATTTCATCTGTTTTCCCCAGTGTTTTTCTCCCATTGAGATATATTTTTTCTCCTATTGAGATATTTTAAAGCAAATGCTGGGCATTATGTCATTTTTTTCTAGAACGTTTAAAAATTATTTTCTACGAGGGGAAACTCAGGAACTAGTCTCATGTGGGTTCCATGTGACAGTAATTGATTTCAATTTATTGATGGACACAGAATTTAACTGTGTATGAACTTGCCCACACACTTATCGTACGTCCAGGATAGAAAGTCTGCAAGTTGGAAACCACTGCCTTAAAGCATGGATCCTTGTCAAATGCAGTTTCCCTTGAGAGAGAGTATGAATAATTTTTGCCCATTTATACCTCATGCTGAATAAATTGCAGGTAAATTAACTTATTTCTTGGAGGTATAATTTATATCAGCAAAATGCACAGATCTTAAGTTTGATGAGTTTTGACAAACATATATACCAGTGTAACCAACACCCAGTCAAGATACAGAACATTTCCTTTATCCCAGAAAGTTCCCTGGAGCTCTTTTCCAAAGATCCTCTGCCCCTCCTCGTCCCAGCAGAGCCAAGGCAATTTCTGTTCTGATTCCCACCACTGTATTTTAGTTTTGCCTCTTTTTGAGGGTAGGTTTTTATCTAGAGCACTAGTTCTCCAAGAATGGTCCCTGAACCAGTAGTATTAACATCACCTGGGAACTTGTTATAAATGCAAATTCTTGTACCCTAACTATGACCCATTTTTTAGTTAGAAACTCAAAAACGCAACAGTCTCTGAGAGGGTGTGTGTGTGTTACAAGACTTTGGGTAATTCTGATCATGTTCAAGTTTGAGGAGCACTGATACGGAGAGCTTGGGAACTCACAATAAAATTGGACAGAACAGGGAGAGCAGTGCTGGTTGTGTATGGGGTGAGTAGGGTGGGAGGGAGCTGGGCAGGTGGGCACAAAAGACAGCTTCTTCATATAGCTTAGATAACACCAAAAGGAAGGAGGAGAGGCCAAGCATTTGTGTCAGAATGTCTGCATCTTGGTTTTGCAAAGGAGTTATGAGGGTCTGTAGGCTTAAAATTTCTCAAAAGAAAAGCATCAACTTTCATATGAGTTCTAAATTCTGTGGAAACTGACTATCAGAAGCTGTGATTGGCAAATGAGTTGTTTATTAATACTATTTTATAGACAAGATCTTTCATAAAATCTCTTTTCTTGGAAGGGAAAATAACAGAAATTGCTCTTTACGTTGAAATTGCTGAAACCCAGCTTTAGGGTCTGAGAAATTCACAAACCACCATCCCTAACTGCAGAATAATTGAGAAGTAGTAGGGAAGGCTAAGGGAATAGGATCTAGGTCTATAGCCAGATGTTTTTCAGAGCTCCCTTGTGAGGTTTAAGATGGGAAGGTTAATGAAAGGAACTAATTCAAGTTGCGCCTGGGCATGAGTGGTGTTTTTGGCATGCTCTTGGTTGTGTTAACACATGGAACTGTTGTTCTGAAGTTTTTGAAATCACACCACCTAAGAAGCAGTGTGTTTCCTGTCTTGAACATTTGTGGGAAATTCAGAAATAATATGGTATGTGTATGTAGACTCTCAGGAGTATGATTGTGGTTTTCCCAAGCCAGATTCTAGCCTGTGCTGTTCTGGAAATTAACTGTGAGGGAGAAGATCCCGTGAGTCTGATAGGGTGTGAATTTGGCCTGAAGTTCCCCCTTTATCTACTCTCAGAACAGTTACTCTGCTTCCGAATTTTCCTTCCAAGGAGTTGGTGTTGTGTCCCACAGATAGAGCTGCGTGAGACTGATCGTATTTACTGGTCCTTTGATAGTGTTTGACAAAGAGCCTCCAGTTTCCCAGAATGAGGTCCTGGTAAGAGGAAAGAAAATTGGGATGTCCAGCATGAGTCCTAATCCACTGAGGATGGTGGAGAGAGAGAGAGATGGAGGCTGTTGGCCTAGCTGGAATTCAGGCCAGCTTTGCATGACTGAGACTTTGGTCCCTTCCTCTCAGGATGCCCTCCCCAGACCGAGTGATGACGCCTCTCTGCCCAGTACGGGCAGCCCTGGATTTGTGGCAACTCTCAGATGGCTGCCTGTCCCTACTTGCTCCATAGATGAAGCAAACACTTGATCTCCTGGGCTACACAGTCAGGATGGTTGGGGTTACCATCTCGACACGGTTGGCACTCTGTGCCAGCTTCCCTGAAAGGCAACCACACCATCTTTTCATTCAGAAACTCTTGTGTTAAAGAACATGCATAGCAATGACTCTCTTTGAAAAAGTGCTACCAAAATTACAAGCTGACAGGCCAATCAGGGTGGCTTAAGGCACAAGTTCTGTTTTCTATTTTCATCTTTTCTTAGCATATTTTCTTTTTTTAAGCAGTGTGCTTCTTAGGTGATTTGACTGCTTATGGACTAAAGGTTCTCCTTTCTAACATAAAACTAGAAGAAGAAATTCAAATTAAAAATTATTTCCTTTTTTTGAAAAAAAAAATCACCACATCACTTGGATGCAGCAATTCCACTTCTAGAAGGTTATCCTAATAAAGTATGTACCAAAATGTACCTATGAGCCTGTTCATTTTGTAACACTATTTATAACAGTGAAAACTTGAAATCAACAAAATGTCTATGTAATGACTAAATAATGTGCTATAGTATAGCCTTTCAAAAGATTGAGGTAATTTATGGTACTTATGTAGAAACAGCTCTAGAACATTAGGGGGAAAAACAGACTTCTAGTTTCTAGCCCAGCATGTAAGGAAAGAAATTAAATCAATAATCAATAACCTTGCCAAACAGAGAACACCAGACCCAGATGAGTTCACTAGAGATTCTACCAAACATTTAAGGAAGAAATTATACCAATTGTTAAGACAATCTCTTCCAGAAGTTAGAAGCAGAGGGAATACTTCCTAACACATTCTATGAGGCAGACATTTACCCCTCATACCAAAATGAGACAAAGTCATCACAAGAAAGTAAAACTATAGACCAATAACTAATGAACATAAATGTAAAAATCCTCAACAAAACATTAGGAATTTGAACCTAGCAATATATAAAAAAGAATTATACACAAGAAGCAAGTGGGATTTATCCCAGGTGTGCAAGCCTGGGGCAACATTCAAAAATCAGTTAATACAACCCATGATATCAACAGGCTAAAGAAAAAGCATGGGATCATATTGATAGATACAGAAAAACATTTGAAAACACCAATACCCATTCATGATAAAACTTAGCAAACTAGGAATAGAGGAGAACTTCTTCAACTGTGTAAAGAACATCTACGAAAACCCTACCTCTAACATCAAACTTAATGGTGGGAAATTTGAAGCTTTGCCACTAAGCTATTTCTGCTTTGAATGGAATTTATTCTTCTGTCACTACTTGAGAGGATGCAGTAGGGAGGCGCTTCCAACCACAGCAGGAGCACCCGCTGCGCACCTTGAGGCTCGAAGTCTGACCTTTGGTCCAGGCCCCAGTTCAGTGACCATTAGCTAGTAGTGAAAGCGTTAGTCCACATGACAGCTCTGTGTTTGGGTCTGCCCCACAGACCTCTGAATCCACGGGTCTCATGTGAGCTAGACCCCAGGGCTCCCACCGATGTGGAAACAGGAAAGCTTGATTCTCCCCTCCTCACCTTAGGGGCTCCCTTGCTGGCTGAAGTCTTGGGTTTTTCATAAGCAATTTGCAAGTTTTAACACAAGCCAGTCTACATTCATTCTTTTTTTTTAAGATTTTATTTATTTATTTGAGAGAGAGAGAATGAGAGATAGCATGAGAGGGAAGAGGGTCAGAGGGAGAAGCAGAGCAGGGAGCCCGATGTGGGTGGGACTCGATCCCGGGACTCCAGGATCATGACCTGAGCCGAAGGCAGTCGCTTAACCAACTGAGCCACCCAGGCGCCCCAAAAAACAGGTTTTTTAAAAAGCAGTTATCAATAATACATATGATATAACCTTTTTTATGTTAAAAGCCACACACACACACACACACACACACACAGAACTACACCTACCTAGGGGCCCCTGGGTGGCTCAGTTGGTTAAGCATCTGCCTTCAGCTCAGGTCATGATCTCAGGGTCGTGGGATCGAGCCCTGCATCAGGCTCCCTGCTCAGCGAGGAGCCTGCTTCTCCCTCTCCCTCTGCCTTTGTGCTTTCCCTCCCTCCCTCCCTCCCTCTCTCTCTCTCTCAAATAAATAAACTCTTTTAAAAAAAGAACACTACATCATGATGTAATGTATGGTGATTAACATAACATAATAAAATAAAATTAAAAAAAAAAAAAACTTACAGCAGGTAGGACTGACCGAGGGATAGGGAGGGTGTGGATGAAGTCACAGCAAACTCTGTGGCGTAATTTTCTAACTTGTTTGGAATTTGGCTCACCTGGATGTCTCACTAGTTTTTGTAGAATACCATAAACTTGTGATATATTAAATTTTAATTTCAAATAAATAAATAAGAAATATACCTATCTATACCTACCTAAGTCTGTCTGTATGTTGTTATACCTCTGTCTGTATTTATTTGTATAGACCTAATGGGTAACAGTGACAGCATCAGAGTTGAGGCTGGGGGAAGCAAGAGGCCCCTTCCGCTGCACTTGATAGTCTGTAGCCTCTTAGCTTTTTGACAGAAAGTACCTGCTCACTTATGTAAGACAAAAAGGAGCTTGCTGTCAGGCATATGTTTCTGAATCTTCCTTTCAAGGAGACGTGAGAGGGTAATGTTGCTTGGCAATTTCGAAATACAAAGTTGCAACAAGTATTTTGTTGAGTACCTCATTTGGGCGCCGGCATTTGTCCAGGCTCTGGGGATGCCGAGGGCGAAGGAGTTACTAGCCCCTGTGATCCCAGCTCCTGGTGCAGGCAGCACCCAGGGAGGGGGAGAGTTGTATTTAACCTGGTTTTCTCCCCGGCTGCACAAGGGCTGCGTACTTTGGGAAAGCTGACTGTGACTCCTTGTCCTCAGAGAAGCCGTGTGGAGACCCGCCTTCGTTCCCACACACCATCCTGCAGGGCCGCACGGGCCTGGAGATGGGGGACGAGCTGCTGTATATGTGCGCCCCGGGCCACGTCACGGGCCACCGCGAAACCGCCTTCACCCTACTGTGTAACGGCTGTGGGGAGTGGTACGGCCTGGTGCAGGTCTGCGGGAAAGGTAAGCCGCCCCCATGCCCTGGGGGCAGAGCCACTCCACTTTTGCTGGATGGGCTCTTCTCCACAAGGGTCCCTTTCAGACCTTTCCCCTGGGTTCTGGAGCTGACAACATCTCCACTCTAACTTATTTAGAAAGTTTACCTGGAAATCTGATCAAGATGCGGTACCAGGAAAGAGCACTTGTGGGGAAAGGGACCCGGGATTGGTAAACTGGGCCGGGAGGGCTGTCATGAATGCAGGCTGCAAGCTGGGCTTCCCTGAGTGGTGACTCTTGTGACCGGGCATAACCCTTGTGGGGACATTGCGGGCTTTGCTGTGGCTTGTGACAGGAGCTTCTGGCTCTTTGGGGCACGGGGCTTGGAACCCAGGGTGGGTCCACAGCCGCACATGGAAGTCCTGCTCCCTTACCCAGGAGCAGTCCTGGGGAGGTTGAAGCAGGGAGGATACTCTAAGACAGCTGTGTGGCCTGGCCCCACTGACGAGAGCCATCTGTCGCTGCCCTGCAGCCTTGCTCTATTCCCTGGCCTGTAGCCTATGGCAGTCACGTGAGCCAACATACTTAGTTGAGACTGAAAAGATTCCTGGTGGGCCTCGACAGAAACCTGATGTGGTTCCCCTAGATGTCCTCACTCCATTATTGTCATATACCTGGGGGTCACAGGCTTCTGCATCCCACCTCTGCGCAGCCCCTTGGGGATTCTCCCAGTAGCAGAAATTACTGTCCCCAGCCACAGCCTGACCTGGCCTCCCCACTCTTGACCTTATGGCTTCATGCCCGACTTAATTGTTCCCTGACCTCACAAGGCTCCTCTTACCCCAAGACTCCTTCAGGGACCGCTTCTTGACCCCCATGATATCTGGGTACCAAACGGAGGCTACCTCCATGGAGGGGAAATGACTCCAGCACCACAGTGTGGATGAATTTATCAGACAGTCTGTCCTTAGAATGTCCTGCAGATCCCATGGGACCATGCTGAGACTAGGGCGCTGTCTCGTTGTCGAGATTCATCCACGTTGTTGCCTAAGCTATGGTTTGTTGTCTTCACTGCTGTTTACTAAGTATGAATACAGCACTGTTTATTTCTCCAGTGTGCTGGAGGACATTTGGCTTGTTTTCATTTGGTGGCCATCACAAGCTATCTTGCGTGGTTGTGCTCATCCAGGTCATGTGGTTCACATGTGAACATATTTCTGCTGGTTCCTGGAGTGGAATTGCTGCCCATGGGGTAGGTGTGTCTTCGGCATTAGTGGATGCTGCCAGAGAGTTTGCTAAACTATACCTACCACTTTACTTTCTTGTTATTCAGCATCCTCACCAGCCTTCAGAATTGGGAGACTTTTACCTTTTTGCCAATCTGGTGACTACCCTGGGGTGACCCAGTTATGGTATTCATTTGTCTGGTTGAGTACTTACTACATTTTAAACAGGCACTAGCATTTCCTCTGTAAAATGTCTACCCAAGTTTCTTGCCCATTTTTCTAATTGATTCGAATTATTTACATAATGTAGGATTTCTTTTTCACATAAAACTTTAATAATAAGTTGCAAACATTTTCTCTCATTCTGTGGCTTATCTTTCTCCTCTTGGAGGATCTTTTAATGAATAGGATTTTTTCCTTTTATTGTTTATTTCACTACTTCTCAAACTCTCTGTGGACCATTAAAATTGTTTTCTAGTATTGGCAGACTGATACCTTAGCGAAATACAGTAAAAATCAATTAATATAAAGCTAAAATAGGGACACCTGGGTGGCTCAGTCGGTTAAGCGTCTGCCTTCGGCTCTGGTCGTGATCTCGGGGTTCTGGGATTCAGCCCCACATCGGGCTCCCTGCTCAGCGGGGGGTCTGCTTCTCCCTCTCCTTGCTGCTCCCCCTGCTCATGCTTGCACACACTCTCTCTCTCTCTCTCTGACAAGTAAATAAAATCTTAAAAAAATATATGAAGCTAAAATAAAGATGTTCCAAATACAAACACGATTTTTTGTTAAATTAAATGGACATAAAATTCCCCTGCCAAATTGTTATGAAAGCTTCTCAGAACATCCTCTCAGGTATCTATGTGCCTCGTTGCAGGCTAGCAACCAAAGTTACAGACTGGGACAAGCACTAGAAGCACTGTTTGAGCAATCTTCCGGCACTTCCCTCATCATTATAACATTGCTGTTGTTTTGTGGCAGGCAGGAGCTCCCTGCTAATCCTGATCATTCATCTGCCGCAGATGATCAGGCATAAGGCCCAAGCTTGCCGCTTGTGGAGTGTGTCACTTCAAAGTAGACCTATACCCACCCTGAGATTGATAACGAGCTGGCTTTATTTCTGGTGAGGCTCAAGCCTGGCCATCTCAGGAGCCACACCCACCAGCCAAATGGGCTGTTTACAGGCCCCGGCCGAATGAGAACTAAATGCAGGTTTTGTGTGTCTGCAATGATGTTTATTTTCTCAAGGCAAGGCAGAGTTTTTGGAGCTTTCAGCTGGTGGACAGGAATTCTGCTTTTTGTACTTGGCTGAGTATACAGACTGTTAAGAGTTTTTGTCGCCCTGTAGGTTTAACATTTAAACTAGCTGTGTCATTATAAGGTGTGTGTGTGTGTGTGTGTGTGTGTGTGTGTTACAAGACTGTCTTCACCAGGGATTTCACTCCCTCTTGCACATTTATTTTTATACTGACATCCACTTTTTTGATGAGGGAACTGCTTCAAATTGGAGAACAGTCATCTTGGGAGAGTGGGCCACACAAGGGTTGGACCCAGGCAGGTTTGGATGAGAGCTCTTCCTTGTAGGGGCTGATTGGCCACTCACTGCACATCCCTTCCTGTGGCAGGGCCCAGGTGCTGTGTGTACAAACTGAAGTAAAGCTGTCCCATCACTAAAGGCAACTCTATAAACCAGGCGCCTCAAAGGAGACAGAAGCAGTAGATGATACAATGGAAGGGAGAGCTGGAAAGCAAGGTGAATTTTAAAGGAAGTGTGTGTTTCCAGATGGTGGAAGTGCTCAATGATGCGAAAGGCTGCAGACATCAAGTAAATGAAAGCTACAAATGTGTGCCTTGGCTTCACAGCATGAGAAGGTTCTGGTGGTCTTGTATTTTCAGTGTGAATGTGGGGAGTGGGATGCCACTGGGCCACACTGCAGTGAGTGCAGGAATGAATTGAGATAAGAAGAAGGTGGGGGGCAGACAATTCATTCTTGAATCTCTGGGGCTCGAGAAGAGCACTTAGGCAGAGTGCTGAAAGAGGATCAGGGGACCAAAGAGATTGTGGGGGTTTGCATCGTTTGCTTGCTTCTGTTATTTTTATGTTGGAGAGATGGCAGTTAATGTAAATGACAGTGGAAAGGCTTGGAAGAGAAGGGAAAACTGAATTATTTTCTTGACTTCCCTGAGCCTTAATTTGCTCATATGAGAACATGGATACTAGTTTTCACATAGATTCCCCCATCGGCTTCTTGCAGGTGCCTCACTTAGAACAGGACCTGCGAGGTGAATGGGCTCAAGGAGTGTTCTTCTTTCCCTTTCACCTTCATGCTGATCCAGGAGAGCATTCAGGCCCCCTCACTTATGGGATCTAAGGGGCTCTGTGCATGACTCTGGCTCCCTCCCCACTTCCTTGTGGGTTATTGACTCTAGCCCCTATTACCACAAGTCACCAAAGGCATCCTCTGACTTAGAACTGTCTGTTCCTTGAGTGAGTAGTTAGCCTTTGCCAGCAGGTGTCTCAGGTCCTGGAGACCAGAAATTGGGGCCACAGCTGCCTCACTCCTCCAAGGAGTGCTTGTCCTCTCTGTACTGGGGCCTGGCTCCTCACCCTCCTCCCCTCGGGCCCTCCGGACACGGGACATCCCCCTACTCTTACCCCAGAGTATTTCCTTTTATTTCCTTGTGAGCTGCTGGTGCCCACTCCAAACCCTCTGGTAGAAGCTGCCTGTAGATGCTGCCTCAGGAGCAGCTCGTCTCTTGTTTCCCCTCTCGACCTCTCCAGGCCCAGAGAGCCTTCAGGCGTGGGTACCCTGGACACCAAGACTTAAAGAACTTGAGGGCTCCGATGAGTTTGGTATTGGAGATTCTGGAGGCTTAGGGGGTCAAGCTACCATGAAGACTACTCCATTCAAAGTTGGCATTGTGTAGACATTTGAAGACTGACTGGACACTTGGGCCAGATTCTCTAAAAGCAGAGCCTGTTCAGAGGCATGTGGTTTACTGAGGGAGGGAAGCAGGATGGGGGAGGAGAGGAGAGGATGTGACCCCAGCGGCCTTCTCCCTTTGCCCGAGCTCATGAACCATGCCACAGGGTTGGTCCCACTTGGAAGCACGGAGGCCAGCCCTGAGTTCCTCCATCTCCATCTGTCATTGGTTGCCGGGGCTAGGTGGCATGGTGCACGTGTGACACCCAAGCAGGGCTCCCATTCCCCCGAAGGCAGCTCTCCAGAGATGGGGAACAGCTGTGAACCATTAGCTGCCCGCACTCATAGTGGCGGGGGTGGGTACACTGGCCTGGGAAGGGGCCATGGATGGGGCGTCAACAGCGCCCCCTCCTACAGTGCAGACCATCAGTCCTGGAGAGCAGCAGTTTGTTTGTTTGTTTGTTTGTTCTTCAGTCCATTAGTAAGGTGGGGACTTGCTGAATGAGCTTGCTGAAATTTAAAATTTGTAATGATGAGCATGAATGAACCCATAGGGGCATGCACACCTGGGTTGGTGGGGGGGGACTTGGGGGGGTACAGGAGGATACCTTGCTCACACACTGCCTAGGCTGTGTGTTCACTGCAGTTAAGATCCAGCCTCAAGTGGTGGTAGTGATGTCTCTCACCTAAGCATGGTGACTTTGTCCTTGACCATGAACTTAAATGGGTGAGGACTTACTTGACCACCATTTTTTCCTTCTGTGTGTTGGTATTTGTCTAGCTTTGGTTTCTAGAGACCAGGTCTGGATCTGGCCCTTTAGCTTTCCATTCTCCTGTCCAAATACACACATCTTCTTGGTTTCTGTTCCCAGCTGGGCAG